GTTTAGGGTTTAGGATGGTTTGGGGTTTAGGGTTAGGGCTTCAAGGGCTTAAGGCATTCCCTCACTCCGGATAAGCTACCTTGTTACAGACTTATGTATCGAACTCACAGCAAGATTCTAGGGTTCCCAATGATGGCCCCTTACTAATCAGGATACCCCTTTTTGTTCCTAACATTCGGCTTGTTTAAGGAGACAGCAAAATGAAAAAGTGCAAAAGGGCACTAGTCCCCTAAACCCTAAACCCAAACCCTAAACCCTAAACCCTAAACCGTTAGTGAAGAATGTAGGTTTAGAGGGTCCAGACGGGTCCAGGTTAGGGCTTCAGGGCAGAGCTCCGTACTGTAAGTCCCCAGACCCTGCAAGTTGGCCGCCCCGAAGTTTACCAGGACCACGTGACTAGCGAAACTTATTGTCAAATTACAATTGTGATAATGATTACTCGTATTAATTGTTGTTAAAATTGCAACGGCCATTATTGTTTTTGAGTATTATTGTCAGTATCATTATGATGCTTCTGATTATGGGCCTCAGCAGGGCAACTCGAAGCTTTGCTTCCTAAGAGGTCTAAGCTCGGTCAACGGCGGATACTTTCCCGAACCATTTCATTCCTGCTATAGAAGCCCTCCTTTCCACGCATGTACTTTGGACCCCTTGGGCGAGGCACATTTTGATACAGGAGAATCTAAACCCTAAACCCTAAACACACATGAAACAGGAGCAGAACCAAACACAACTGAAACCTGAAGACCGTTCTGAGAGGAGCCAGGGAAAGCCGAACATAAATCTAAATCCTGACTTTTGAACTTAGATCAGACGGCCCTGAGATAGAAAACAAATCTACAGAAATCATAAATCTTCGATAAAACTCGGAACAACAAATGCTGGAGGTTTGGACGTCGGAGTTTCGCATTTAGGGTCTTTGGGTTCAGGCTCTCGGGGCTCAGGGGTTTAGGAACGTGGAGTGCTTCTGTAAACCCAGAAAAGGTTTAGGGTTGTTTAGGGTTTAGAAGCCTAAAACCTCTGCACCCTCGTGTAAATCCGAAATTTCTGAACCATTCGAGCGCCCTAGCACCCTGATCCTTACGATTCGGGTTTGTTGGGCTTTGGGCAGAAGCATGGGATTTTGGTGCTTAGGGTATTCATTTTGAGGCATAAGCTGAGTCTTGGAGAAACCATACACATGGCTTGGCGTCCAAGCATTTCAGAGTCTTATTTTTCGCGTCTAGATATTTTGAGGCAAGAGTTGCCGGCTTAGAGCACCAACAATAGTACAATAGCCCACAGAAGTCTCGGCTTGCGCAATCCCTTGATTTCGCTTGCGGTCGACGCTGGGCAGGCAGCAAGGCCCATACTCTGCCAACCGCCTCCCCCAGCAAAACAACGTGATGGGATTTGGGGTCCATCAGGTGTTGGCGGCAATTACCGTTGCAGACCGCCCTCCTCTCTATATGGATCACAGTGGCATAGGGATCCGAATATTCGGGCACCTGAAAGAATGGGGGCACTCTGTCCTGTCGATGCTCTCCGTGACAGTGTAAGGCTCACCGTACCTCGGAAGGCACATGTTTCAGGCTTGAAGTTTGATCGGGGATCCCATGATTAGAATAGGGCTTGGGTGATATTATGGTGGCCTTGAACTATAAGACTACAAGGGGATTCTTGCTAATTATTCAGACCCCTGTAGTAGTGCTCGACATCCAGAGCCGAAACTCATCCGTGACCTTTAACCGCGAACCCTAAGGGTCCATGTACCCATATTAGCCTTAAGCTAGTCCCGGTACTTTGGAGCCAAAGTAGTATACTTACTATTTGGGCACATCGACCCTTAGGGAAACCCTAATCCTCAGGCCCAAAACCCAATCCGCACCAAAATCCGCAAAGCACTCCCACCATCTTAACATCGAGCTGGCCTTTCAGGAATTAGGCTAGGCGGCTAGAAGAGCTGTGGGTCCGGGTTCAGAATTTAGATTTTTGGCTTAGGGTTCAATTTAATTTCGGCTTCAGTATGGCTCTGAGGGTTCAGGGCTTTGTGCGATTCTAAGCGTGACTTGCGAGGGAAGAAATTTGAGGGCCGCACGTGAGGCCATTCCGGTAGAAAGCATATTCCATCTGCCGTGTGGTGGTTGTGCCACCGACCTCCCAGCAGGAACCCAACCATGCACCCAAGAGTCTACACGCGCCATTAAACACACGGTTAGCAGCAGTGCGGAGTGCCCTGACCCCTGAACCGGCATGAAGGATAAGGACGCGGCTGAGGTTCCTGATGAGCACAGTGATGCTGATGCTGTTGCGGCTGATTGGGACGATGACGATGAACGATGCGGCTGCTGCTGCTGCTGCTGCTGCTGCTGCTGCTGCTGCTGCTGCTGGTTGAATCGATGACGATGATGATAACGTTGATGAAAACGATGCTGCTGATTGGGCTGCCGATGATGGTTATGTTGTGGAAGAAGAAGATGATGATGATGACGATGCCGATGCTGATGATGAATATGATGGTGATGTTGATGCTGATGCTGATAGTGGTAATGGTGGTGACGATGAGGATGGTGGGAAGAAGATGACGATGATGTGATGTGATGTGGATTGTGGTGATTATGAGGATAAGGATGACGACGTTGATGATGATTCGGATAATGGTGATGATGATGTTGATGATGATGATGATGATGATGTGATGTTGGTTATTGTGATGGTGAGGATGAGGATGGCGATGTTGATGAGAATGGGGATAATGATGATGATGATGATGATGCTGCTGATTATGATGATGATGATGATGATGGGGATAATGGTGATGTTGAGGATGAGGATGATGAGGATGATGAGGATGATGGTGGTGATGGCGGTGATGATGAGGACGATGATGATCATGATGATGAGATGATCATTATCATTATCATGATGGTGCTGACGACGGCCTTACTCTGCTGTGTTGCTGCCGATGTTGGTTGTAACGAGGTTGAAAGCGAGACACAGCGGCGAAGAAGCGGATTGTTTGCTTGTACCAGAAGTGCTGATATTCGTAGTTGTGGCTGTGGTACTGCAGGAACAACAACGGCAAGCAGCAGAGCGCAACGACAACAGTAGGAACCGCAGGAACAGCAGCAGCAGCAGCGCATCAGCTAGGAGAAGCAGCACCGTCCATGTCTCGGAGCGGTGACATGCCTTGGCCTGCTTTACTAGACCAGCACATCATCACGAAATACTGATACAGCAGCGACTCCAAAACAGGCAAAACCAGCGTCCGAGGGTTGGGCATTGTGCATGTGCGGCCAGTGGAGGTAAAAAACAACCTAGGGTTTGGGGTCTAGATGGGTCTACGGCTTGAAGCCCTAAACCGTCGCAACAGGCCTTCCGCTTCGTCATGGCCAGGTGCACCTCGATTATATAGCTTGTTTCCGCTGCTCTACTCTACATGGACAGAAGCGAAAGGGTTGATGCTGGCTGCGCAAGACGTTAAGGGTTTAGGGATGCACGTTTGGCCGTTAGTGTTTATAGGGGCTTGGGCTGAGGATTGCGGGGTTAGGCGCTTGGTGCAAGCATTCAGATTTATGGACGAGCATGTGGGTAGTTCTCTAAACTAGGGTCCCATTTGGGGTCCTTCTTATACGGGTGCCGCATTATATTAGGGACCCAAAAAAGGACCCTAATTTAGACAACTACCCATGTGGAGATTCGGGCCTACAAACTTCTGAATGGGCCCTGGCAGCAGGCTCCGCACATACCTGAACTCACAAACGCTCGGACATCCTACTGACTGGCTGTACCTATGGAAGAAACATCGAGCAAAAGCCAGACAGCCCTAGAGCAAGAGAACCCAGAGACTCCAAAACCCCTTAATTAAGGAATATACCTTAAATCATATTAGGGGTCCTACTATAATTTAAGGCCTATTCCTTAATTAAGGGGTTTTGGAGTCTCTAGGAAACTAAACCAAAGAGGCGACTTCAGGCTGGATGCTCTAAGTTGGCTTGGAACTGTTGGCTGAAGCTGCCTACATAAGCTGCACGGTTCTTGCACGGGCACCGTAGTATGGATGCACAACCGTAAACCGTAAACCCTAAACCCCAAACCCTAAACTCTAAACCCTAAACCCTAAAATGGACCATCTAGTCTCCTGCGCCTGTTGTTCCGAATCAAAGCCTACCAAAAGAGCCTTCAATGAGCGCCTTACCAGGCTCGAAACCGCGACACGGGACCCATCCTAAACCCCCAAACCACTATACCAGTTAACCCGAAACGGTGCTAAACCCCTTTAACCCTGAAGCCCTGAACCCCCAAACCACTATAATTGCCAGTTAACCCCAAACTCGTCTAAACCCCTTTAACCCTGAAAGCTTGAACCCTAAAGCCCTAAACCAAAAACCAAGTCCATGATGATTCATCTTTTGCAGAAACGCAGCGCGAGACGCCAAAACGACTGCAGGAAGTATTTATTAACACGTGCTGAGGTCTGATTGGTACACCACCAGGCCTTGCCCAGAGCCTTTTATTAGGGTTTAGGAGTTCGGATGTTCTTGGCTTTAAGGTAGGGTTTAGGGTTTCGGGTTTGGGCTGATCCCCAAGATTCAGTTTAAAACCCTGAATCACTGAAACCCAACAGTCCCAGCTGAACCTTCTCCTTACTTTCAGACTCTTATAGGGCGCTTCCGGGAGCTAGAGAAGCTTTGGGGCACGACAGAAGTGCCCTCGCGGGCTCTTAGAATGGAAGAGGTCCAGGGTTGTGTTGGGTTTAGTTTTTAGGATCTAGGGTTTAGGGTTTAGGTTAGGGTTTCAGGGTGTTGATGGCACTTTGTCAAACATGTGTGGTTCAGGGCACAGGCAGGGCTTGGGAATTAGGTTAAGCCCTAGGCTCATGTGTTTGACATGTGGGATTTCGGGATTTGAAGCTTCGGGCTGTTGACAGGCGCACTCCTGCCCCAATACTCACAGGACTCCGAAGAGTTTAGGGTTTAGGGTTTNNGGGGGGGGGGGGGGGGGGTAGGTGGGGTGATCCCCCCCTACAGCGCCCTTACGTAAGGGATCCTTAATCCTACCTAGGTTCGTCCCACTGTCTGAGGCCCCCGAAACACCCGCTATCCCCCATCCAGACCCGCCTAAAGACTTGTGAAAGTAGGGTTTCACGACTGAGACCCCAGCCAACTGTCCAACATCATTGAAGGAGTAGTTGACAGGCAAGTCCTGCTCAGGGCTTCAGAGGATCACAAGCTTAATCTGTACTTCTTGCTTGCGGGCTGAGTTGCTTAGCCCCTTTGGGGCTCCTTGGCTTCAATGTTAAGAGTTTGTGTCATTTCCTACTGCGGTGTGGCCTAAGTTCTAGTCACCGAGAGAAGCCATGCACCACCAGTTCTTTGGACTGGTGGCTCTGGCTTGGCTTAGGGTATCGTTACTTAAACCCCCAACAGTATGTATCATAATGGCCCAACACCTATAAAAAGCNNAGTATTCTACATACTTTTGGGGTCCAGGTAGTTATGGACATCTACATTTTGGAGGCTCGCCGGTCGAATTTCAGTTTCGCACGGGGCTTCCATGGGGTGCAATCCATCGCTTCTTTCAGTTGGGTGTGATGCGATGCACCACCACAGTGTAGTATGTCCAGGAGGGGAATTTGCCGAAATATCGATACAGAACGAAGGCTCTCACTCAAAGCCATAATACATACGTTCCCCTGAACCCTATAAGGCCTAACCCCTAATCCCTAAACCTTATGGACCAGTGGCTTCGGGCCAAACATAGGGGCCTTGATAATTAGAATAGGGTTCTGGGGCCCATTATGCTACAATTATAGTAAGGAACCCCCAAAGTAGTATTGGTAAATATTTAGGCCCCTACACTAACCACTTCTGTCTGCCGGAACCCTGTTGTGGTTGTGGTTTTGCAGCTCATGAGTCCTGGAATCTGCTGTCCACCAATGCGAGCCACGGTTTAGGGTTTTAGGCTTAGGGTTTAGGGTTTAGGGTTTAGGGTTTTAGGCTTAGGGTTTAGGGTTTAGGGCTTAGGGTTTTAGGCTTAGGGTTTAGGGTTTAGGTTCAAGGTTTTAGGCTTGTAAGGCTTAGGGAGCTTGACACATCTTTGCTTTCGAACGCACTGAAACCCGTAAACCCTAAACCCTGAACCCCAAACCCCTAAACCCCTAAAAACCCTAAACCGTGAATCCCTGGCCCCGTCGCTGCGCTCGGAAAGGCACCCTGTCCTGGGTGGCCACATCGGCCTGTTTAGAGGGGTGTAAGGAGTCGGGATTTAGACTCCAGTTGGTCGGTTTAGGGTTCAGGGTTTAGGATTTAGGGTTTAGGGTTTAGGGTCTAGGGTTTAGGGTTTAGGGTCTAGGGTTTAGGGAGGGCTTCCAGTTCAGAAGCCATATCCAAGAATGGGAACCGGGAATGGTATTCTCAATGCCCGCAGGCCAACACCCTGCACCCCAAAAAAGGAGGGATGGCATTTACTACCACAAACCCACCCATCACGAACAGCAAATTATTCTCAACTTCGTCTGCTTAGGATATAATTCTCAAACATCCCTCAATCCCGAAACCCTAAACCCCAAACCTGCAGTAAGCAATTACACAGCTTTGAGGTTTTACTTAAAGGTTCATGGGACTTAGTAATTACAGGGCTATAAACAAGGTAGCTATACTTCTAACCCAAATTAGGGCACCTATAACTGTACTTATTAAGTCCCAT